TGAAGAGATGCTGGCAATGACTTCGGGTGGGAGGCTGAGGTTTTAAAGGAGGAGTAGGGGGCACATGAGGTGTCAGGTTGGAGGCTTTGGAAGAGAAAGCCACCTCAAATATTCCCCAGTCATAAAAGGTGACTTGTTGGCTCATAAAACAGTTCAAAAGTAGGAAGGACGCCAGGCTTAGTGTGATTCCACGGCCCAGCAGTGGCATCAGGACCTAGTTTCTCCTATCCCCTCTGCTTTCACCCAATCTGGCTTCCCCTTACAGCTCTGAGGGAACCAGTCCAGACACCAGGGGGATACTGGCTTCCCTGCTGGCTGCAGGCAATAAGGACCCACTCCTACAACCCAGGACATGGAATGCCCAAATAACTGAGTAACTGGCTCCTTGAACAAATTCCAATGACCCCTACCTTTATTTTTATAACCCTCATTCTTAATTATTTGACCTCTGGAGTTGTTTCCCAGAAATGGTGGGTTTTCTACTAGACAAAGGAGCTGAGATTCTGAAGGCCCTTGAACAGACTTGCTATTGCCAAGCCTGCTATCCCCTACCTGCCCCCAAAGCACTGAGCCCCTCCTTAGTTACACCACTATGTGCTCCAAGGCATGTGGGCCCCCCTCCTTTAAAAGCTTATTATCTCCCATAGTGAGATGGATTTGAGGCAGCTTCTCCTGTTCTCCTCACAAGATATCTTTTGTATTTAAAAATTCCTTCTTCCTTGGCAATCCTCATGGTCTCAGTAATTAGATCTTTGTGCGACCAACAATTTCACCTAGCTTGAAATCTCATTGTAGTTGCAATAACAATTAAATAGCTCCCATGAACTCCGGGGAGTGGGGGAAAGGGAATTCCATTCTCTTTCCATCCCAGGAAAGTTGGAATCCTTCTGTAGGGAAACAGAGGAAGAGGGACATGGATGCTAGGAAGGCCACCACTACAGAGATAATAATATATCTGAGGCTTTAGAGCAAGAATGAGCCCAGGTTACAATGAAGAAGTGAATGACCAGTGCTAGGTGGCCACTAGATTGGAGATAATTGGGACTGTGTAGAGAGATAGCACAAGTGCATTTTGTCAGATTTATCTAACGCTAGATTGGTTGGGGGGGGGGCTAATGGAAAACAATTTCCCACAGAATGGGTGCAAACCTAAGTAAGCTATGGAAATGAATCAGGAAAGTGTTTTTTAGTACTACAGAATAAAACTGAAACAGCAATAACATCTGTAGGACTGTGAGATAGTTGCTTTTCACTGAACTTTCCTGAAATACAACAAATATCAGAAAAATCAGTTGAAGAGGCAACCTCATTGGCATTAAGATGATACTAAAAAATTTTTTTAAAAGTCACTGCTCTGACCCCAAAAGTTAATAATTTTTTAAAAGCACAAAAAGAATACTTCATCTACAAAGAAATGATGAAAAGATGATGGTAGTTTTATTTGAATCATGCTTTACAATAAAGAAAACAATAAAATGCAGAAATTACAGAAGAAAATTTACTAGGAAGCAGATAAGGAATTGAGAGTCAAACAGAGGGACCTGCCCAAATAGAATCAATCCCCCTCTGAAATTGGAAGTCCACCTAGGAAAGGTGAATGGGCCAACTCCCACCCTCTGACAGGTGTCTCACCCAGGGAAGGGAATGTGCCCATCCCTACCCTTCTGATCTTTAAACCCACCCACCCACCTTAACCCACATGCTGACTTCCTTGTTGAGCTCAGCTCACTTGCACCTGGATGCTGCCGACACAGAACCTGGACTCCGTTTCGTTTGCATCTCGGAATAATCTTTTATTTTCAGTCTTTGACCTCTCATTTTGGTGCCATGACTTGGATCAGGGAGAAGCCCCCTCGAGGGGGCCGAAATATACCCCATCAGACCCAACCAGACAGACTCTTGTTCCGACAAGACGGAGGGAAACAAGGGAACCCTCAGACCCCCACCCAAAATTCATCCATTTATTGGTGAGGTGAACATTTGTCTAGAACCCCTTTTACCTTTTTAACTTCTCCTTGGTTTTCCCACTCCAACTCCTCCTTCCCTCTCCCTCTGTCTCTGGGGCTCCTAAACAGTCATATATAGCCCCTTTCTTCAGTTTTTAAAAAAATTCCAGTGGTCCATGCCTAGCCCCAGCAAGCCAGGCTCGCCCGTCCAGTGCCTCGTGTATGGGGATGCCCTTCTGTGGGCCTGGGCCACTTTTCCCAGCTGGTTCAAGGTCACACATGGAGGTCTGGCCTCTCTAACCCCAGCCCTTAACCACCTCCTTCCTCTTCCTCCTCCCAGGTTCTCTTTATATTCTCATTTTAACCTTGTTTATTTTTTTACCTCCAGTTTCCAATATGGGACCACTCAGTCATGGATTCCCCCTTCTTCACTTTAAAGATGCCTTTTTAACTCACCTCAAGCCTCTAAACCTCTGTCCTGACCTTAAACCTAAACACCTCGCCTTTTTCTGTAACACTACTTGGCCTACGTACAGACTAAACAGTGGTTCCCCAGGGCCTGAAAATGGCACACTTGACCTCTCAATCCTCACTGATCTCAGTAATTACTGTTAAAGATTAGGCAAATGGTCGGAGATTCCCTACATCCAGGCCCTTCTCCTCCTCTGAAACATTCCTTTTCTATGTTAGACTTTGAACCTGCTCAGATCTTCTTGCACAGGTCAAACTGGCTCCCCCTGCCCATCCTTGTGAACCTGTCAGATCTTTCTTGTGTGGGTCAAACTGGCTCTCCCCACTCATCCAAATCTCCATTGCCTTCTTTCTACCCAGAAGACAGTCTCCTCCTTCTGCCCCTCCTCCCTCAACCTTATTCCCACCCACAGAATTCCACCCCATCCTGCTGTTTCCACAGCCCCCCAACCACCCTCCTCCACTTGTGGTAGGAAAAAAAATGGTGGAATTCTAAAAATTCCCCCAAGGCCCTCAGACCCCCCAGTGAGCTCTCACTGATATGGCCTTCAAGCTATGGCAGCACCTCTCAGAGCTCCAGTTATTGGCTTCTACCATTAGACAAAACCTGGCTACTTCTTGAAACTCCGTGGAGCACTCCAAAAAAACCAAAATCTCCCCCCTCCCCCGACCATGTTTTAAGTGCAGCAAACCAGGCTTTTGGGCAAAGCAGTGCCCAAATCCAAACCATCCCCCAAACCATGTCCAGCCTGTGAAGGTCCTCACTGGAAGTCTGACTGCCCAGGTCTTTCTGAAGATTTTGACTCATTCCCAGGACCTAGCAAATGTCCCGACCTTTTAAGCCTAGCTGCAAAAGACTGACAATCCCTGGAAAATCAGGATTTGCCTGGATGCTGTCCTGGAAAACTAAACTCAGGGGATTTTTTGCTAGTGGAAGTTAAGCCAATATTTTTTCTAATAAACATGGGAAGAACTCTGTCCACACTGCCATCTTATAAAGGTTCTCTAAAACAAACAGAGATCTCAGTAGTGGGAATTAATGATAATTTACTGCACCCTCAGGCTACTGCATCCCTGTGGTGCTAGAATCATGGCCTCATTGGTTATTTCCTGTGTTAAGGCCACTAATTATGATTTTTCTCATTTTCAGTTTTTAATCAGTAATCCTCCATCTCATCTCTTGATTTATTGACCAGGCAGTTACTTGGAAAACAACCATTTTTTGCAAGGATATCAACCAGTTCAAACTGAAAACCCAAGAATGTTCCCGTAAACACTTCTCCCTTCCCTCTCCCATTCTCCATTTTCCTTACAGGTGGGGCACTCCAGCCCTCTTCCACAGGAAGCGGTCAAAGAGATGCCATGCCCATCAGCCCACCTCCTTATAGTAGACTAAAAAGATGGGAGATGATAAGAGTCAAATGGAGGGACCCACACAAATAAAATCAACCTACCCAAATCGGATGTCCCACTCAGAAAAGGGAATGTGCCAAGCCCCACCCTTCCAATCTTTAAAACTTCCATCCACCTTAACCCACATGCTGACTTCCTTCTCATGATCAGCTCACTTGCACGAGAAATAGAGGCTGATGTTGCTCACACAGAACCTGGACTCCGTTTCCTTTCATTTACATCTTTTAATAATCTTTTATTTTCGGTCTCTGACCTCTCAGGAATAAATATAAAGCTTGTTGATGGAAAAGAAGCCATACTCTGTAAAACAATTTAAAGAGATTTATTCTGAGCCAAATTTGAGGATCATGACCCAAGAAGCCTTGAGGAAGTAGACTAGCAGTGGTGGGGTTACAGTTTGGTTTCAAATGTTTTAGGGAGACAGGAATTACAGGCAAGGTTGTAAGTCAATACATGGAAAACATATACTGATTCCACCAAAAAACTAGAACATCTCAAAGGGAGGGGCTTACAGTTTATAGGTGGGTTAGCTGACAATTGGTTGAGTTAGGCTTTGCCTAAAAGACCAAGAATCAGTGAAAAGGAACGCTTAAGATACAAATTACTGCACAGATTCAAGTGGTTTACTGTGTATACTGAGGACCTCCAGTATCGCTAAGAAGGCAGAACATGAGGAGGCATGCCCAGTCTTAGGGATCGGATCCCCTTAAACAAGAGGGGTCCAGTCAGCCGTTTGGAGGAAACCTTAAGATATTTAGTTCACAACTAAAAGGCACAAGGCAGTCCTGAGAGACGTTATTAAGAACACAGAAAACGAGTCAGCCTATCAACGACCTGACACGTGACCTTTAAGAAATGACATGGGGGTCA